AATATAAATAATAGCCGTTGATGAATAAATTTATTTTTTCAAACCATATAAAAATTAGAATTTTGGTTGTCATATATCTAATATATTATTATTAAATTATACATTTTTTGTAAAAAATGTTGTCAAATCCATGAAATATGCATATACATGTTCTTAAACTCAAAATATGTGAATTGGTACAAAAAATAACAAAATATGCAAAATTATGCAACAAAAATGTCTATATCTGAAATATACATACTATGAATCAAATTTGAATCGAATCAGAATTTCAATATGCAATTTCTAGACAAATATGCAATTGCCTAAAGTTCCAAGCCTTGATAATCATCATGAATTTATCATCAACTATGAATTTGCTGAAAAAGCATATTTGTTATTTGAGTAACGCTTATCTTACTTTATACGCTTAGTAAGAAATTGGAATCATATATTGGATTAAATATAGGGTTATCAGTTAAAATTTGAGACTTTAATTTCGAGTTTTATAATAATATTGGATGGCTCTAACCAATATTCAATAATAATAATATTGGGTGTTTTAAAAAGAACGCAGGATTTAAATCTGCTTCGTTCAGAATATAATCGCAATGCGACGCATGCAATATGCTGCTCCCAGAACACTACGATCTTCAAACGCAACGACTATTGTTGACACGTACACGTTGATCGGTTGTTGGAAACCACGATCAAAGGCATTTACTGGTAAAGTAGTCAGTCATGGTGTGGTTGTTGGGGCCAACCGCTGCGGCTAGTCGCAGCTTGAAAACCCCTTAACCCTTAAATGTTAAATTATGTCTCGAAACCGTATTATAGTTGATCCAAAAATACTTAATGACCTAAGCGTTACTATGGGTCACAATGTGTATTAATACCTGTAAACGTTTATGAGAGTTAAAATTCATTCCATATAATTTATAATAATAATTAATAATTAATAATAATAATTATAATTATAATTTTAGGTAATACAGTGCACATTTAAATGATTTATGCACAGCTTAATTAATAATTATATTGATGGTACTATTTCTCATTCCTTTTCAATATAATACTTTTGTGTCTCGCAAAAGGAGACGTAAAGTGTTCGCTACCTGGTCCAGATTTCATTATAACTACAACGTCACTGATATTACAATGCTCGATCGACCTAAAAGGCTACGCAATTATAAAAGTTATAAAAATAATTAATATTAGTATTAGGAGATGCATAGGCGCCACAACTGAAAAACCAATCGACCAGTAGTCGAATACACGAATTTATTACATGCCGCTGTACAATAAAATTTCGATCGTCATATTAGGCCAGCGAACTATTTACTTCGTTAAAATGTATAATCAGCTCCGCCGAATGAACGGTTTGTAACGGCAGATAAGTGGACTAACGGTCATTATAAATAAATAAATAAAATAACAATAAAAATAAAAGATGATAAAATACGATGAATATAATTTTATGTTATATTAAAAAAAAAACAGATACAGTATTCGATAATCTTAAAATAGGCTTAAGCAATGATTATAATATGTTTTAATTTATTGAGATTATCATTAATATTAACCAATGACTGAAAGGAATCAAATACTGATAAATTCGTTTTTAAAAAGTTTATAAGTAACATTTAAAAACTATAAAAAAAAATAAAAAAACCGACGGAAATCTTTTTTGTTCCTATCGACTGTCGTACATTACGTGTTAAGTGTTTTTCGGCAAGTTTAATTTTAATATTTCATAAGCGTACGGAAATAGAGACTATAAGCTGACCTAAATCTCGATGAATTTCAATTTATTTAACCTTTTCCATAAATCGAATCCCTCCCGACACTGGATTGGCACGAGCGCAAATAGTGCTTTTCGTTTAGTAAAATCAATAAAACGAATATTGTTTGCGTTATGTACATAAAACCATTTGTTATTTAATTTTGTTGCAACAACAAACGGTTATCCGGTGGGAAACGAGAAATACGTTTACACATTTCCATGTTGAGAGCGGAACTGTTTTTAAGGGGTTGAATATAGGCAATATTCTATACCCAACTGAAAGTGCTGTGGAGTGCACGTTTCTCATTTCACTTATAAAGCTCACGGTTATTGTTATGTTACTATTTTATTGTTTCACGATTAAAAATTGTTAAAAATAGTTAAGACTCCAAGTTCGGCTTTGAAAATCCAAAAACGAAGTTCAGCTTAAATTATTTTTACATGTTAGGTTTAAAATTTTGTTAATATTATCATATTTTTTTATACGCTATTCATATTTCTATCAGAAATACATTTAGCTCAAGTATAAATTTTAAGTAAGATATTTTTTAAAAAAATTTCAAATGACGCGCTTTTCCTCTAACTCTTGTTATACTTATAAGTGTTATTGTATCTTATACACTGGAGAAAAAAAATTAATTCTGATAATCAAATTATGGTATTCGCAACAATGAAAAGCAGTTGGCTCAGGGACAGCAGTAATTTCAATTTAGAATACCAATCAATTTTGGTTGGCTGTTATTAGTTGTTTTTACAATAGCAATTGTGTTTACTACTAAACTAGATTTCGTAATGCTCACAGAAATAACATAATTGAAAAACATACATTCTTGTTCAACATATTAAACTAAATGATAGCTGGCAAAATATTTTCTGTAGGAACAACAAATTTATGTTTTATACTAAAATATATAACCATGTGAGTAGCAAATTATTTTGTAATGATAACAAAATGGTTATGTTAAATGTACTTTATTCCTGGTTAAGGAAACCATTAATATGCAATAATCACCAAATTTAAATTTATTTTTATAGAAATTATATTGTAATATTATACATACATTTTTGTAGTACATATAATTTTCACTCAGGGGCGATTCCAGTGACATGGTGGAGGGAGGCTGTCATAATTTTCAGGAAAATTTCTATATTATAATATATTTTTTTTGTGATTAATTATGATATATATAATGATTTTTATGATTATCATTATCATATGAAGTTTTTGCATAAAAATTTTTATGAAAAATATTTTGTTTTTTGTCTTATGTAAAAAAGCTACTGGCCTTTATTACTCATAGACTCAAATTGTAGGGCCCATTTAAAACATTTCTAGGGGCATCCAGCACCTCCGGCACCTACCGTGCGCAGGCATATGTTTATTTATATGTATTAACATAATCGTATACATCATTGTTTTAAGAGGACGTCACACCCGCATTTATTGTCTCTTACATGATGTTAAGTTTCCATTACCAGTTTTTAGTTGTTACTTGTTAGCTTTTAATATTGGAGTAAAGTAACCTTTAATCAAACTTAAATCAAACAACATTATCTACACGATGTCATAGGTTTTACGATATTTTAATTTTTAAGTTAATAATAGAAGCACGAGCTTAATCGTACAATTTCCTCATAATCAGCTTAAAAATTAAAATATCGTAAAAACCCTATGACATCGCACAGATAATGTTGTTCCTTTTATGTTGGACTAAAAGATGAGTTGGCTCTAATATTACATCTAACAACATAAAACTGTATTTACTGAACGAGAATTTGCCATGTTATCCGTTTATAAGACAATAAAGGTGGGGCCGTTCTTTTAAGAGTTGCAGGACCCTTCTAACTAGCGGTTATAGCACAAAAATTTTAAATAGATCACGAATATTATAGTGGACCATTCATGATACCGTGATCATGATCCGTTATACCCAGTGGCGCATAACAAAATGTTATATGATCTGATCAATAGCCACCCAATTTACAAATTACAACCAACCCCATCCTGGGTCGTAATTTAAGGGGTTGGAAGATCACCTTCTCCCAAAAATGTTTTTATGATAGCATTTAGTTACTTAAACGCCTTAAATAGTAATAATTAAATGGGCAGTATTATAATCTATAGCTGATTGGATTAATTCGCTTATTACTCGTATATATACGAGTAATAAGTAAATTAGTATACTATCCACCACAGCACCACCTACCATTACATACCATACATCCATTACATACCTGTAATCGATGTAAAAAACAATTAAAAAAAAATTTCTTAAAATACGAATACGAACGTAGACGAATTCGGGACGCAATGTTTGTTCAGCGTGGAAATATAATTGGGGTGCGATGGACGACGAAAGAGACAAAGAGAGTGAAAGAGATAATGTGAGGGTGAGAGGGTGAAAACGAGTAAAAACAAAGCGATGGTTGCGGTTCACCCGTGGCGAGTAAAGACACAACCCAGACGACGTCGATAGCGACGAGGACGTGGGCGGATCCAAATAGGCATCGGAGCAACCGAGTACCGACCCCGTTGAAAAAATATAATAATAATAAAGCGCATTTGGAAAAACCGAATAACGGACTATAAAAATAAATGTCAACAGTCTTGGCACAAAAATATCGTCGCGTTACATTTTGCGGTGGCTAAGCCAACCTCCCCCAACCCTCAAGACACCGTCATGAACGCGTACGATCAGCCGTATTGCGTATTTTCCGCGACAGAGCGTCGTATACAGCTGCGGGATCCGTCGCCTGGCGAGGGGTGGTTTCGGGTGGACGGAACCCGCGTGCCGGTCCGGTCCGCGTCGTCCGTTCGCGACGTAGAACAGTGCTTCCCAAACATATTCGACTCACAGACGGTATTTCACGACGACGCCCTTGTACGGACATCGCGGCGCACACTTTGGGAACCGCTGCCGCAGAATATTGTCGAGTCACCGTGTAACCAACGGGTCGTACCTGTTGAACGGGTAGACACGCCGCGCGTCGGTCGATCGGGGCAAGTGACGGGTCGACGACGGTGCGCCCACGCCGACCGCTGGCGAGGTACATCTAATCAACAAAACCGGCGAGGGTGAAAGGGGAACTGCATGACGTTGGACGCTCGTGCCAGTACCCGATCGGTACCGTCGCAACGTTACCGCGGTCACCGCGCCCCGTCTATACCCGATAACGCGTTTACAATCGTCGTTCGTCCACCTGCGCGGGGCTTTTTTTTTTATTGTTCTTCGTGTTTCGCACGTACCCATGTTAGTCGCTCGTGCCCGACGATCGGTCCCCGGAGGAAAACCGCTGTAGCCGATCGCTCAAGCGATTTGTCGTCCGTTCGGCTCCGGTGCCGCTGCGTTTCCGATCGGCAGGGTCGCCACTAATCGACAACGGCACTGTTGAACACCGCGTACCGTATAGTTCGGTCGTGCCGTCACCGTCGCCGTTTCGTTCCAACAACTTGTTGTTCGATCGCGCAACAGTTATTTCACTGTCGATTGTAACACGATCGTACGGGTAGTTATTAATTGTTCAGTAGTAAGTCAGTAGTTGTGTAGTCTATACTAGTGCTTATACCCGTTTGTGAGCGATGCGAATAACAAAAAACACGTTTATTCGTATTGCTTTTTCGATTAAGTTATTCTTCGTTCCCTGGTACGTTTCAGTGGCAACTAAAAAACCGAAACCTACTGAAAATCCATAATGTTTGATGATGTTAAACATTAGGTTCTCTTTAATCTGATTTAATATATGTGACTACTCATATCCAATTAAAATGGCATGTAAACCATTGCTCATGTTTCTGATGTGTAATTAAATAACAGCCACATTTGCTAAACGATGACTTAGGTGATCTTCGTATAAACCGCAATATCTAATAATCTTTATTGATTGGGATTGTCGATAGGAGTTATATTTTTTATTTTATTTGAATAAAATTCTTGCTATGACCTAGCTATGTGAGATAAAAATAATAGGTGACAATTAATAATTTTTTGATATTTTTTCAACTTAAGGTTCTAGCATAATTATATCAAATAGTCGTTTTGTCCCAAATCAGTGCATTACTTTAACTTGACTAATTAATTTTCAAGCTGTATTTTGTAATGTTTCAGATTTGCAAACATTCACTAGTTTATGTTTAATCATGTTCCTTAAATATTTGTTAAATATTTAATAAACAATAAAATAAATTAAATAAATAAATACATTTATATTACATAAATAGATTTCACTATAATATTTTTTTAAAAAAAATGTACTTAATATTTTGCAAATTATTTGAATTATAAATAGGACTAGATAAATCTTTAAACATATTTAAGCCTAATATTTCTGAATCATTTACTTTGCAATCCATATGTTTTAAGTTTAAAAAATAATTTTGTGACAGATCTTGGTAGAATTTTATTGAACATTTTTTTTTAGTAAAATAATATATCCTGATATTAATTTAAACATGGCATAGAATTTATTATACAAAACTTATCCTACAAAATTTATCTTAACATGATAAAATAATTTTTTTAAACTTTTATGGATTAATTAAACAATATTTCCTTTTTTGGATTAATATAGCAATATTTCCTTTTCTGTATAATATGTATACACATAATTTACTGAATCTATAAGAAAAATAAAATATTAAAATGAAAATATTTGTTTTTATTTTTTCATAAATAAATAATTAATTGTTACAGGACAAAAATTCTTAGTTTTCCTACTTAAACATAGATAATATTAATACAAATTTATAGTATTTTTTTTCGGTTACAGCTCTACTTATGTCAAAAAATAAATAAATTTAGAACAATCTGTATGAATAATTATTATAATAAATGTATTATTCTTATTTTATGTATGTCTTATTTATTTTAACTCTTGTAGAAAACAATACATAATGCCAAAGATGATTGATCCTTTTTTATTGGATAATGGGGAGAAATATCCATACTCAGCTTCCATGTTTCCAATAAAGAATGAAAAACACCTTTTGTTGGTTGAAGAAAAACTTGATAAAGATTTGCGTTACAAACATTTTTTGGTAAATTATATTTCTGTTACTAATAAATAATTAATATATAGTTGGTATTTGTTATTTTATCATATAATTGTGTTATACATTTTTTGTTTTTAAATTTATTTGTGTTAACAGTGTATATAAAATGAATGCTATTGATTTCATTTATAATTGTTTATAATATTGGTAATGCATATAATAATATAATTTTCAAAGTATTTAATTTAACTAAAATGATTCAACTTCTTAACCTATTTATCTTAAACCTCATTTGTTAAAAAAATATTATAATATCATAAATACTTATATTTTTGGTTTTATTTATTATTTCAGATTGATGAGTTATATGAAGTGAAAAGTGATACCTTGGTTAATTTGGTGAAGAAGATAATGACACAGTTATTTGATGATAATGTGTTATTAGGTTATGGAGTGTTGGGCAACAGAAAATCTTCTACAAAGAAAGATTTTCTTGAATTAAACATTTGTGGCGTAGTATTTTGTAAATTAATTTATAAAATATTTGTATGAAATAATAATGTTTTTAAAATTAATTTACAGCTGCTATTATGAGTAGATCTCGGTATGAAGGAAGTTACGAGGAAATTGAAAGAAAAATTAAAGCTCATCTGTCTCAATCTTCATATCGTGTTTTTAGACAGTCAAGTTAGAATACTAACTTCAAATTTCTCAAACTAAAATAAAACTAATTTTTTATCTATAAATATTATGTAAACGATCTGAATTTTAATCGTAAAAGAATAATTAATATTGTAATTGCTTTTATACACATTTTTATTAACATTTATTCTGTGAACATTATTGTACTAACATTTATTAAATATATTATATAACTATCTTTATTTTACATGTTTTAAATTGAAAAAAGTTTTCCATTTTCTTTGATAAGTTTGAATTTTCAGTCTAGTATTGGCAGTCAAAGCAATAAATAGTGTATGAGAATGCGTCAAAGAATGCTTCAACTTATCAGAGTAACGTTAAACTTTCTAATTTTGTCCTATGGTGTAAGACAGAAATTAAGCCAGTTTGAAAGCAATCCAAATCATTTATTCCAAAAATATTCTAAGTTGAAATAATTAATTTATAAAATAAACTGGCGTGAAGGTACTTACTATAAACAAACTGAAACACATCTGAATATGAGTGTTTCATACCTCCTTATATACCCCAAATTCATATGAACTTGTAACTTGTTTTCTCAAAACCGTTTTAACATTTAAATTTTTGTTTCATTTATTAATTAATTTTAGAAAATAATTACATTTTACTGAGCGCCCAACTCTGGATTATAATTGGTTGACCAATTTTTATTTATGGCTATAGGCATAAACTGGGGGGGCAAGATGGGGCATTTGCCCCATAGAATAAATAATGAGAGGTAGTGCCCCTTCTGATATTTAACATACTTTGTTTTAAAATTAAGTACAAAATAGCCGATTATAGCTATTACTACATAATTTTTTTTTTTAAAACTTAATTTTAAATTTTCGCTTAACATTACATAATGTTAGAAAATGAATAATTTTGTATAATAATATGTAGGTAGTAAAGCGGCATTTAACCGCGGACAGGGTTGGACTAGGGCACCGGGGCATGCCCCGGTGGGCTGCTGTAATCTTGGTTAAATAAAATTACTTAGATTTTTTGTTTTTAATTTAATGCGTCTACCTTCTATTCTTAAAATAAAATAAAAAATATCGCCTTGTAACATGATATTACTAATGGATGCGGTGACACAGGATTAGATAATTCGGAGTTCGAAAATTGAACATATTTAATGTCGCGATAGGCCGATTGATAACAATGATTTCATCACAATATTTATCAATAGAAAAATTGTAGGAAATTTGAATACAAAAAATGTGTACAATATGTTAATCATACGAAGTATCGTTCAAGTTTGTTCTAACAACATTTTATCAAAATAAAATGTTAGAAAATTAATTTTCTAAGACCGTGGTATGGGTAGACATTGTCGCGCATGATATGTGATAACGAAATTGTTTTTCGATAATAATAATTTTTATATGATTTATTAGACTTTTATTTAAAAACATTTTAATAATTTTGACGTTCAGTCTATAACAAGTCTGTTACTAGTTTCCAACCTTTGTATGATCTATGGGCCACATTCACAAATTAAAAATGGTTCTAGAGCCAGACAATATAAAAAATTTATATGATATTCAATGACATTTGATAGTTTTGAAATTTACTGTGGGCCGCATAAAAGAGACATTAGTTTCCGACCCCACTGTTCTACCTCAATTAAAATTAAATGTATAAACATATTTAAATCAAATCGTTTTTTATGTTGTAAAATTTATCTTAATAGGTAGGTCATTATATTAAAATTATAGATAAGATATATTATGCGTAAACTAGATTTATTTAAGGTATAACATTAAATCTGTAAATATTCAAATGTACTTGTGTCAATATTGTTTTATGAGTTACGAAAATACATTTTCAGTTAAACAGTAATTTGATTAGGTACCTATCTACATATAAAGTTCCATTGAGGCCGTTCGAAATTATTTTGCCCGGGCCGAGCTATAAAGCTAGTCCAACCCTGGCTGCGGACACCCTTTTCGTTAGATATGTAATTATGTAATTATATATTTGCCCTTCTTAATAAATGTCCAAGTTACGCCCATGTTTATGGCATTAATACTTGTCACATATCCTATAATTCACCGATGACTGTTGCAACTATTTATGTGAAAGGTGGTTTCCCCCTATAATGGCATTTGTGAATATCTTTCACATATTTTCATGGTGATGACCTGGCCTATACTTTCTCGGTGTCTGTGTATAATAAATTTCATAGTTATTTTAAGACAATTATGTTTGGTAGGTATGTAGTTCTCTCCTATAATGTTATTCGTAAAAAGAACTATATTTTTATTATTTGGTAAACTAAAAGCCTAAAAATATTTATGGTAAACTTAAAATTAAATTGATACACAATCACATTTATGTATTCATTTCACTGTTTATGGAGTAATATTTATTGGTATTATATTTATTAGATAATCAAATATATAGAATTTATAAATATATACATATTCAAACAAGCATAAAAACCCTATATATATATATATTTGCATCAAAGAATCAATGAGTATATTTACAATAAAATATACTTAAATTTCTTATTGTGTTTTATATTATTTTATGTTACTTAAATTATTAAACATTTTTTTTTTTTAATGTTTTTTAATTTTTTATATCATGCATTAACCTTTGATAAATTACAACAATTATTTAGAAAAATATAACAATTTTAATATTATAGTAGTCATATAAATTAATAGTGTTAGAACTGTATGAAGGTGACTGTTTAATTTAAAATTCATAATTTTCAATACTTTCCTCCCTCTTTCCAACTTGGAGATCTAGTTACCTATGCCTACTAATACATTTTTTTTACTAGAAGTAAATAAATAAAAAAAATCATAAAACTCATTAATTAATTAATTACAGAATTACATTTTAAATAGTCAGAAAAATATTTCCATAAAAACATTATTTTAACAAAATAAAAAGTTCATTATTTAACTCTTGACCAAAATATTATATTATTTGTTAAAAATGATTTATTGTAATTTTTAACTCTTTGAAGCACGACGAGTTAAAATATAACCGACTAAATTAGAAACCGTTGCTGCATGGTGGTACGAAAAATAACCCATTATTTTAAAAAAAATTTCTACCTTTTCTTAATAAATTTAATAAAAAATAAGTTAATGTTATAAATACATGTTAGTAGTGTGTATAATTTTATACTAGACATTTTACTGAGAATTTCCTTACTTTTTTTTCTTTTTGAATGTGTTCATGATAAAATATATTTTATTTTATTTATAGATTTTAATTGATCATGAATTATATAAAAATAGGTTTATTTTAATGGCTTTCACTTTTACGTGCTATAGAACTAGTATTATTTATACTGATGATGGAAACATCATTATTTACAAATCATTTCAGACATATATTGAAAATAATCGGTGTAAAAATTATAACCCACCGTGCTTGTAGTGATGGAAATAATCGATATACTATAATCATCAAGTATATTTGACCATTTATTATTTTCAAGCCCTAAATGAATTGTAAACAATTATATAATTTTTACGTGCTAAAAAATTGTTTTTCAAACTGACGATGAAAATAACATTTGGATTTTAGAAATTTGGTACATTGAAATTTACAGTTTACAAAATCTAATCGATTGCGACAGTAATGTTTATTGTGTGCATAATAATTATTAACGAAATGTGGCATCGATTTATTTTTATTTTATTAATGCTTCAATAGTTAATGCCCATGTTATTTATAAAGAACTATGTGCAGAAAAAACATCATTAAAACAATTTAAATGTGAAATTTCAAGAGAATTTGTTTCGAAAACGTTAGTGCAAAAACGACTTATGGCTGTAGAGCCGTCGTCGTCAAAACCAGTTAGTATTAATAAAGGAAAACCAACAGATTCGACATCAATAAGAATGGAACAATCTGCACATCAACCTACAAGATCAAAAAGAAGAAGATGTACACTTTGCAGCACAAAAGATAACGAAACTCGAATAAATTGAAAATGTTCAGTTTGTGATGTTCCGTTATGCTTGGAAAAAAACAAGACTTGCTTTGTATAATACCACAATAGTTGAAGGTAAATCGCAAAATTATTTAAATTATTTAAATACTTACCTATTACTAATAAAATGATTTTATGTTTCAGAAATTATTATTCGTTCCTGTCTATAATTTATTGACCAGTGAATAATGCGACTACCGATAATGCACTACGAGACAATTTTTAACCCACCACTTATATTTAAGTACAAAATTTATTTTTATTTTTTTTCAAAGTAACTCTATATTAAATAACTAATAAAAAGTTATTAGTAGCAAAACCAACTATATATATATATTTAAAATATCTTTTTGTGTGCCGTATGGGTTTTTTTTGTGTCATTTATGTTGTGCTCTAGAGAGTTAATTAAAAAAAAAAAAAAAAAATTGATTAATCTTTAGCAACACAGAATAGATAATTGGTAAATTCAAGCTGAACAGCTTTTTATTGGAATGATTTGCTTTTAAATTCTTACAAATACATACATGACAATGTAACAAAGTACTTTCACTTTGAACTAGTATTTTTCTAACATTTATTTAATCTTTGGATTTTTATAATTATAACTACTATAACAAGTACACCATAAAAATATTTAATTTTTTACGGGTTGAAAGCTTTTCACAATTATTATTTTAAACTAAAATATTTTATTAATTGTGTACAGTTATTTATATAATTAAAGTCAGGATTTAAACCCCTTTATAATTGATCAAAAATGATTGAAAATTAAAACATTTTTAGATTCTGAATGAAGCTAAAATATTATTATTAATATTTTAAATTTATTTTTTGTGTTCAAACTTATAGATAGTATGTAAATCAACATCAAAAGCAACGATGAAGGACAGATATTTGGTCACAGGTCTTAAGATTATAGTTGTGTCATTGTTCCTGTGGCCATTATTTTGAGCTGGTTCACTACTACAAAAAATACATACGATAAAATCAATCATACAATATCACTGAAATTATTTAATATTAAAATATTATACCTCTTGTCTATATTCCTAAATCATTGGTTTCTATATATTTTGAATCATTATGCTTGACATAATTGTGTATCTTTTTGCATGCAAATAACCGTGGCCATTCACTTTCTATAAAAATGTCATTATTTTAGTTTAATTTTTTATTTGGTGGTGAATTAAAATATTTAAAATTTAAGTAAATAAAGAGAAAATGAAATGGTGTTTTTTAATAGTTAATAATCAAGGCAGAGGTAGTAACAATCAACTTTAAATGCAAATGTTTAAATAATTTTTATGTTGCAAATATTTTATAGTTATTTGCATTTTCTAATTTTTATGTTATAAATATTATAAATTGTCTTTTAATTTATAATTGCTTAGAAACTATAAATTATTATTTTTAAACCACTCTGAGTTAATCCACCTCTTTCTTTCTTTAAAAAAGAATAAAAATAAATTAAATAATTACTTATAGGTTATCAATTATAACTAATTTTACTTTTTAGTTCTTATTCATTAGTTAATTTGATAATTAAGGCACAGTGTATCGCAGTAATTAGCCGCAGTTGCCAATGAGCAATGCGATTAAGCTGCGTTCAGCATCACTAGCTCCCAGGATGGACAACCACCTGAGGTTTAGCAATGAAGCCATGCCTTAATATTGCAGATACCAACCCACTGAATATTTTTATCCAATCACATACTCTTACACCCAATAGCCTAAGCTCTTGTGGGTATACTAAAAAAAAAAGAAAAAACATAATAATTGTTATTTATTATTAAATACTACTATTTCATAATATTTTTATATATTGTATATAAGGTGTACAAATACAAATATTAACGAATAGAGTAAAGATATTTGACTATTTTGTAATATGCCATAATAAGATATTTATATAAATTTAATAATAAAATACATAGTTTATTAAAAAATTATAGTTCAGTGATATCTTAAATATGACTATTATATTTAACACAGTGAAGTATATAAGATATTATACAAACAAATTAAATTTAAAATATAGTACAATTAAACTAAATCAAAAAATAAATACAATATTACTAATTAATAATGTAAAAATTATTATAATTAATAAATATTATTATGATAGTATATATATAATATATTATATTAATTCATTTAACATAATAATAGCTACAGAACATAGTGAAGGACAGAGAAAATTTGAGAAAGAATTTGTTGTGATTATATTTGATAAAAGACAAACTTAGAATTGACAAAAAACTAATTAATTACTAGAGTAAAAATATAATAATTAATAAGTATTTATACAAGTAAGCTAATATGGCAAATTAAATAATTTTTATTATTTATTCATATCTACTTAATTAATTTTAATCTATATAGATAGATCATCATTTTTGAAATATTTTTTTATATAATTATCAGAATTTTTGCAATCAACTTAGAACTTTCCTATTGAAAAATGAAAAGTATTTGTTGATGTATCCATTATTATAACAAAATTATAAAGTTTGAAACATACATTATAGGTTAATTGTTGATTTTTCTAGAATATGTTTAGTAAATTTTGTTAAAGTATATGATTAAAATAAATAATATCTTCGGTTGGTAAATTTCAATGCTGAATTTGACTTTAAACAAAATAATTTTATTACCTATGAATTAAATTAAAATGTAAACAATTTAGTTAAATGCCAATTATAGAAATAAATACAATACTTATAATTTATCATAAGAAACATACTTCCTCTATACAATTTCCTGGCTTTAATACAGACTCCTTCTACACTTATTGAATGTGTTATTTTAGGTCTAATAAAACCATATAGCATAGCACAAAAAGTATACGATACATCTTTGTATTGAGCACTGAAAAAATTAATTTAATGTATGTAAGCTTATTTTATTTTAAAGAAAAATCAACCCTTACTTGAACATTATACTTTGCATTGTACAATTGACTCTGAAATTATCTATTTTAATAATATTCAAGTTTAAATAAATATTATTATCATCTTGAGACCAAACGCATACAGGAATATGTGAATTCTCTATAGTGTTGCATGTCTCACAGAGGTTTCGCCAATTTTCAGTTTCAGATTTGAGGTCATGGTTTTTTAATTCTAGGGCTCTGCTATGAATCATCATTGAATCGAAAATTTTAATTTTTTCTATTGATTGATTAGTTGTAAATCTTTGGGTATAATTTTTTTCAATTACTGATTTACTTGGTATCATATCTTTATTATAAATGTTGTTTATTTGTTTCTTAATGTTATTGCATTTCTAAAAAGTAAAATATATTTTATAAATTATTTTAGACTGTTTAAATTTATTCTCAACATTCTCATTTAATGTTAACATTGTAATATTTTAAATTATAAATATATATTTATATTTATAGGAATAACCAGCTGAAAAAAACAATCATTCAAATAATTTAAAATTATTTTATTATAAATCAGAGTAATGTAGAAAAAAATTAATAGGTACCTAATTAAAGTAATTACTGATAAGATGAAAAAGGCAATCAAAGATTATATTAAAAATTTCACATACTAAAACATTAATATGTAGTTAGTGTTAAGTGGAAAGGTATTTATTGATTAACTCAAAAAAATGAAAAAAAAAATTAGCATCTAATGTCCAACTTAAACTTTCCTATACCTATTTTAAAACTATGATATTTTAGTGTATACAATTCAGTACCTATAACAATATTGAAGAATCGGTAAAAAAGGATATTTATACAGTGTGAAAAAAATAAGTAATAATTTTTAGTAAGAGGATAAAAAGAGAGTAAGATGATTGCTAAAAATTTATTTTAGTAAAATATTTAAAAACTTTAATTTAAATTACGTACTTGCAAGTTATAAGTATACATTTGAGTATCAATACCTAAAAATATATTATACAATTTTATTTATTCACTCATTTTCATTATTCTACATAGTAAAACCATAAAACCATCTATTGACACTTAGACTGTATAGATAATTGATTACCTACCTTATCAAAAACAAATTGTTCTGAAAAAGTTGTTTTTAATGATATATTTAATTTTTCGAGCTCCATTTCGTCTTCAAAATTGTTTGTATCATTACGATTTTTTACAAAAAAATCATTGTTATTGATTGATTGGTCTGAATACATTACATCACACTGTTGAGTGATTTTATTCAGTATCTCCGAAGTATCTATCATAACTCCACAATGGCTTTCATTAATTAATTGTGTCGGTGAAATATTGGCAGTGACCTAAAATATAAAGGGTTAGCAAATAAAAAAAAATTAAAAAAAATATTTACAAATACTTTTGAGCCCAGCATGTTTTGATCCAAGTAATCGATAAATGCTCGATCAGTTTCTTGTAGATTCACAGTACTTTTGTCAGACATATCAGTAAGACGTGTTCTGATATAGCTATGTGGTTGAAATTTTTTCCCTACTTCGATATCCAGCTGTACTGCTGCTGTACTTCCAGAGTTAGGACTCACGTGAATAAATTCTGAGTTATAAAAATACATTTTTCATCAACTGTGTAATTTGATTAATATTGTTATATTATTTGACTATTTTTTCTTTTAGGATTCAACTGTTATTTATAAATTAATTATTTTTTTACGAATGTGTGAATAGTGTGGTTAACTAAAATAAAATGTAATATTTAGAAAATGTATGATAATTATTTTAATGCTATTAAAATCATGATTACAAAAAATTTTTCATCTGAAATTTACTATTTAGTATTTTTGTCGTGATAATTATTTGGGCTTTATTTTTTAAATCATATGTTATTAAAGTGGAGTGGCAGAGTATGATATAATTGAGAGTCATATATATATATATATATATTTATATAGAATTTTTAATAAGGTTTAATTCAGCAGTGATTCGTTAGTTTAAATTTTTCCATAACCATTATTAATGAAATGTTTTGTTCAAAGTATAAAATTAAATGTGTTCTCATATTGGTATATATAAAAAAAGAAAAAAAATTAGGGTAAATTTTTTTCTTTACGAAATGCTCCATAGTAATGAATTTAAACTATAAGTGGGGACCATAATAATATTTTTTTAACTGACCAAGAGAAATTTTTAAAAAATTCAACTAATGTAATGAACTTAAATTGTGAGTGAGCTATTGCGACTTTTTAAATTAGTCCTGAGAACATTTTATGTTGGTGAGTAAATAAAAACAAATTTTTAGTACTAGCATTGATTAGATAATGAACATAATATAATATATAATACATATAATAATATATAATTATATACTATTATAAATGGTATTAATGTTATGATTAGAAGCCGAAATTATATTCTTTTGCATATTTTTTTTGATTCTATAAAGTTCAAAGGGAAGGGTCGAAATTTTTACAAATCACGAAACGTGATTAAATTAATGACCATATTTTTTTTTTTTTTTTTTGGTACTTGAAAATATTTCAAGATAAAAGAATATTAATGAATATATCGATTCATTTTATAAATTTTCGATATTTTATGTTGTAGTTGTAGTAAATATCAGTAAAAATCACCATAATCTAATAATGTGATACAAATTAGTATAAGTACCTATTTATAAATATGTTGTATAAATGATTATATGAATATTATATGATGCTTATACAATGTTATGTAAAATCATATAAATGGTATATAAATAATGTGATATAAAATAGTATAAGTATTAAAAAAGATGTTACGCGTAATATATTCAGGGCAAAGGTGAAAACAAGTAGTTTTTCCCCTCTTATTGCTAAATCGACAGTAAAAGGAAGTAATATTAGGATTACACTACTTTTATGTCATTTGAACTCATATAAATACAGGTAGAGTATTTGGCATTAATCAGAAGTAGATAGGTAGTTCTAATAGACAGTGTTAGACTGGTCATTTTTCCTTTTAAATAAATTATTACTCGTCGTGGACATTATTACAGCCACATCGCCGCAAATACATAATTCTTGACCCAGAATAAACTGTTCTTTATTTTAGTTTCTAACTGTTTGCTATTATTCTTGTGGCAAATTAATAAAAACAGTCAATTTTATAAGTGTTAAAATACAAGTGTTTAATTATCCTAATTACCTGTTTCTCTCACCATTACGTCTCAAGATAACATCGAACGTGCTACGTCGTTAAATAATTAATGTGGTACCTGCACAACGATCACTACATAGTAGCGTAAATGTAAAAATTTACCTATACGTTCGATTATAATATTGAATTTTGAAAAACTTAGCAAAAGTTCTGAATGAAAATAGTGAAGTACAAATTTTAGATAATTTTTCAACGACTGTGATGGTTTGTAGCATACTCATGTGAGTTTAATAGATGTCGAACGTACTTTTGGTATGTATAAAAATATTTTAATAGACCGATATTATCAAAAAATCAATATAACACTAGAGCACATAAAACAAAATATTGTTGCCCAGTGTTTTAAAAATCGCTCCTAATTAAAAATACGACATAAGTTGTTCGTTAATAATTTAATATTTTGGTAAATTAGTCTTAGTTCTACCGTCTGCATAAGTGTTTCTAATCATGCTTCGCATCAACGTTTCGTCTATGTATACTGTTTTAACGTTAAAATGCCGAAAGATAAACAGTCAATTCAGTGGCGTACTCAGAGTCGGACTGGCCTGGACTGCTAGTCCGCGATTGCGGACGGAGCCCCGGCTTAATTATGGTAATTGGGGGCCCCTGATTTTGTACCTATTTTTATTATTATTATTAATTTAGAGTAAATAGAAATACGAAATAAATAATTTTTCTTTCAAATCAGGAAACGTATTATTGATTACAACCTTGGAAAATTCTCAATAATTATTAAAATAATGACATTGTTATTATCATTCTACGAATTTAATAGGGAGCTGTTTTTATACAAATATGTATTCATAGATTATAAATAGTGTAAAATTGTTCAATTCTTGTGACTATTAAATAATATTATATTATACGGGCATATGCGTACAACTTGGTATTCGCATTACCGCTGAATACTGATTGTAACTAAATTATTATATTTTGGGTAAGTATTGTATTCATGCACATGAGGCAGCAGCCCGCAAGGTTATAAATAGCTTGTAAAGTCAATAATATGTTCTTATAATAAAACTGTTCTAAATTCAGAATTATTATCAATGATAAATAATTATTAATATTATAATTAAATGATACAAATTACAAGAATAATAATTTATAGTTCAACAACGTTGTATTGTTCATTTATTTTGTTTAGAATATGGTTGTTTTTTATCATGGCCTGAAAGCTAAATTTAAAGATTTTAATACAACATTGTCGGTTGAATGGTTCATTTCAAATTGACATCTTGTAAGTTGTTAGTTATTCTGTTGTAGTGCTGTCTGTTAACTATTAACCGTAATTATTTTAACTGTGAGTCCGTGATTCGTGAATCGTGATGTATAAAAGGAAATATAAAGTTGGTTTCAAAAATAGAAAAGAGATAGAAAACCAAAAATTGTTTAAATGTGCAAATGACAAAAGTCAAAAAAAAATTAGTTTTTCTACAAGTGTGAAACCACTGAAACCTGTGAAAGGTAAGAATATTTTATTTTGTTATATAGGTTGTTAAAATATAAGACAATAACGCATATTATATTATTAATTATTCTAGTCACTACTCTTTATACATAAATAGTTTGTAATTAATTTAAATAGTCACTATCCAGTATCCATAAACCATAATATTACAAGAAATTTGAATTTTAAAATTTATTTTTTGAACTTATTTAGTGTTATATAAATATTAAATCTAACTATTTATGTGTGTTTTCAATTATAAGATGCAATTGAAAGTATGGTTTCTACTGAATCGCTATCGTTTGATAATATGAACCCAGTGTCAAAATTAGCTATGTCTACTATTACCTCAAGTAATTAATATATTTTTTAATTTTTGAATCTATAAAGTATTCTAAGAATATAAAATTTAAACTTGTGTGATTTTAATAATTATGTGAAACTGAATGCATTCCTACTAAATTAACATTTGCTGTAGATCCAAATTATAAGTTGGCTGATTCTATAATTTCTACAAGTACCTAATTCATATCTTAAACATTATTTTTTGTGCCTATAAAATTTGAATATTAAATCTAACAATCTAAATAGATTTATTTATTTTCAATTATTAGGTGAAACTGAAAGTTATTCAATATCAGCTGAATCTACATTTACTTCAAGTAGCTTAGCATTTTTTATTAGACCCGCCAATAATGAATCAGTAGAAATCAAATTAGCTTTTTTAAAAAGTCATCCCATTCAACCTTTTGTTTTAATGATAAACTTCCATTTCGTCCTCAAAAAATGTATTATCAGACTTAAAGTGATTTTCTAAAAGTTCAGCGTAAATGGTTATCTTATTGTTCTTATAATAAAAAAATATTTTGTACTACTTGTATGACATTTTGCCCACTACGTGAAAACATTAGCAATTTAGTAACTGGATTAGAAGTTTTAAATTCAAAAAATGTATATGGTACTGTTAAAAAATATGAAAAATCAAAAACACATGGTGAAGCAGTTTCTACTTTACTGAAAGCCAACTTAAACAAAAATATAGAGAATTGTATTAATATAAATTTAAGTGAAATTCATTATAAAGAAGTAGAATTTAATAGTTTAGTCATTAAAAGGCTCATTGATATAATAATGTTTATTGGTAGACAAGGATTAGCTTTTATAGGTAAAGACGAAGCAGCTTATAATTTAGAGAACAGGACTATTAATCATGGTAATTTTTTGGAACTAGTATTGCTAATTAAAGATTATGATGTTGTATTGAATATGCATGTTAAAAATTGTATTGAGTTAAGTAAAAAACGTAAAGCTAGAGATAAAAAAAATAATAATAATCTTCCCCAGGCCCGTGGTAGAGGAGCTTTAGTAACTTTTCTATCAAAAACATTTATAAATAAACTTGTTTTAGTTATTGGTAAATTATTACAAGAGAAAATAGTAAATTAATTAAAAGAAGCCCAAAGTTTTAGTATTTTAGTAGACTCGACACAAGATGTTGCAGTATTAAATCAGCTTGCTATTTGTATTAGGTATGTTTTAAAAAAAAATGTTTATGAAAAACTTTTAAAATTAGTTGTGGCTTATGATTCTAGTGGAATTGGTTTGTACAATTTAATTACAAAAGAATTTGCTGAAATAAATTTAGATATGAATAATATTGTACGTTGCTCTTTTGATGAGGCAGCTAATACGAAAGGTGTTTATAATGGCTTACAATCACATTTAAAGAAAAATGCAAATCCTTCGTGTATATATACCCATTGTCTAGGTCATGTATTAAATTTAGTGATGGTAGATTCATCTGAATGTTGCAAAAATGCTGAATTTCTCTTTGGGTTAGTTCAACAATCTGCTACTTTTCTTTTAGATTCACATAAAAGAATGAAAGTATGGTCAGATTTAACAAAATAAACTCATAAAAGTCACAATAAACTCAGAAAATTGAACTAGATTGGAACGACCAGGTGGTGGAGTAAGGACAAGGCATTATCTTCTATAATTCAGTTCAACGAGCCTAATGTAAAAGATTCTCGATTCTTGTTATTTATATATTTTTTATTAGAAATAATTTTTAGTGATTCAACATTTAATGCAAAAACTAAATACATGGAACATACTCTTTTACAAAATTGGTCAAAATTTGAAATAATTAAAACTGCTGCTATTTATCTTGACATTTTTACTATAAGTTCTCCTGTTTCAAAATTCTCACAATCACGCTCATTAAATTATCTGATAGCTTTTAATATGACAACAAGTTTAGTAAAACAAATTGAAAAAAAAAAAACAATGGTGATGAAACATTTAATAAACTTATTTCTAATGTTCAAAATTTTATAACAAGAATGAATGAGGAATCGGAATTAAATAGTATAGATTTTAGAATAAAAGATAAGTTTAGTAAAAATAAATGTGTTAATAGAGTGCCAAAAATAAAAAAAATGCCTGGTGAATTAACATCCGATGAAAGGCCTGACCTTTCCGCAGAAAAAAAATTTAAAGTGGAAACATACAACTTTATACTTGATATTATGATAAATAGTATGGAAAAAAGATTTGTTAATAATTCAGAATTACTTAAAGATTGTATTTGCTTAGACCCTAAAAATTTTAAAAATATTTAAAGTGGTTTACCTGAAAACTCACTAGTAAAACTTGCTGAATTAACAAAAATAAGTGTACACATTTTAATTTCTGAACAATTATTGTATAAAACAAAATTGTATTTACAATACAATTTGATTCAATAACTAAAAATTTAATGATACATTTTCAAAAAATGAACTATCTTTTAACAATAAATCCGACTCAGAACCAGAACTAAATATTGATCACAGTTTGGAATGCAATACATGTAACAATTGTTTAAGATGTGCTTTTAATATTTTGTACGAAATTGTTCAACAATCGGGCTCTTTTAATAATATATACTTGGCATATAAATTTGTTTTGACGTTACCATGTACACAAGTTACATGTGAACGGACATTTTCCAAACTTAAAAACATTAAAACTAAATTATGATCATTGATTTCTCAAGATATAATGGAAGCTCTGTTAATGATTAATATTGAAAGAGACTATGTTGTTGATAAGGAAATTGTTGTAAATACTATTGCTAAAAGTTCGTCAGAACTATCAAGGTTATTGATTTGAGATGTTATTCATTTATATTGTTTAATTTGTTTTACCTTTTATATCTTTAATATTAATATTAATTAAAATAAATATGAATTACATGACACAATTTGAAACGGTGTTTTTTTTTATAATGTTTGATGTCACGGCGGTGTAGCCAGAGTAGTATTTTGGGGGTTGGATTCCTGGAAGGAGGGATTTGCCCTGTCAGATGATAAAAACAGTCCTATGGTTCTGGGAACTATAAGGAATTTGCAGAAAATGTCTTAGCATTTGAAAATAACTATTGAAAATTGTGTAAAACCAGTAAATATATCTCGAATGTTTGAATTTTAGTTAGGTACGTATTTAAGTATTGTGACCATATGACTATATGATAAATTTATGATATATAATATATAATATATGATAAATATGGAAGATAGCAATTGTATTGCGAGCGTAGCGATCTTTTATTTTTTTTTTTTTTGGAGGGCTTCTGTTGGGGGCTCTTTTTTTCAAATCGCGGACTGGGTTTTTTCGAACCAGTCCGAAACTGGGTGTACTTAGATCTGATTTTTTTTTTTTTTTGGGGATGGTTAAATTTTTAAACAAACAATTTGGTGGTCTTGAACCAAATAAGATATTTTGTTAAATTTAATAGATTATTCATTTTTATCCGTTATTTTTAATATATTTATTAAAAAAAAAAAATGAAATAACACGTACCTACTAGTTTCGTTCGTCATTTAGTTTGATAGGTGTTATAGGTATGTTTACACTCATGCATTTTCCACTTCAATTTTCAATTCAACTTGCGTTTCAATATTCAAAATTCCACTTTTATACATAGTTTTTTTTTCTGTTCTCACTAGCGACGTCACAAATCAGTCATCTTCCAGGTTGTTAACAAAAAACTTGTTGGATTCACATGTACTTCTCGGTGTTAGTGGCGACCTATTTAACTATTGCGAGTGCAAATAAAAAACGTAGGAAGAAGCGTTCTTGGCAGGCCAACAATTATTTAAAAACTCGACATTTTGGAATTATAAATGATTTGCAATTACGAGATAAATATGAGATATTTTATTTAAAAATTTTACACGAATGTCCAGAGTAAATTTTTATTCAATATTAAATATAATTTAACCAGGAATGTTAAGACAAAATATTCGTTTTAGAGAGGCTGTTCTAGCAAAAATTAAGTTGCTAATAAGTTATTAATAATAACCATATGATATTTAGCTACCGGAGTGAAAGGTAATATAAAAAGCACGGTGTGTTGTATGGATTCCTTCCTGAGCGCGGAAAAACCTTGCGTTGTAGCGTGAGTCATGATAATGTAGCCGTTCAGCTCGTGGTGCGCTATTATGCATTAAACGAACGAAAAAGCGCACGAGTGTAAACATTCAGTATTAGAAATACTTACTAACACAAGCAGTGGTAATACGATAACGATTACAGATTAAAATAATAATTAGTAGACAGTCGTAATAATCACACTGTCCCTATCTACAATACTTTCTTGAAAATAGGTACTCAAAACATAAAAAAAAAAATAATACCTCCATAAGATAATGTACAGCTGTATTGATCAAATATATACCTCTCATAAGAAATTAATTCTTTCCAAAAATGTTGTTAGTACGCTACCGAGTCGGATAAATCTTCTGCCCTACCTATAAATATTAACAGTTAGGTAACAGAACAATTGATCCTATGATCATGATAAAATCTATCTTAAAAATCACATGAAAGGTAACAAAAGACGATACACAATGTATATATAGGTTATATAAAGGAAGATTCTCTATATGTACAGCTATTCCACGGTTTTAATGCCTGTATTATGTACCAAAAACACCATTCGGTCATTGAATTAGTTCAAAAAGGTTTATTTCGACCAATATTATTATCGAGTAGTATCGTGTACCTACTTTGTTACACTCCTTCCAGACGATTCCAGTGATCCGAATGATCCAGGTGCATGCAGATATGTCTAACGTGCTTAGCGTGTAAATGGATCGAAAGCTTAAATGAACAGATGCAGTGCAAACTGATGAGTGACGATAAAACGGCAAGTAAGTACCCGAAAGCGTTATGATACATTCATTTTATTTTTACGCAACTATGGGTGTGCAAACGAATCATTCGTAACTCAACTCACTCGGTGTAGCCGTCGCGCGAAGTCGTCTTACTCGTCGTTGCCTCCGTAGATTGCGTACTGCCCGTACACCGTATTTCACATCAGCTGAAACACCGACGGGTCGTTGTTGGAATAGAGAAATCTGCGTTCGTCCCGTCGCTCGAAAACAACTCACCTGGCGAACGTTTGCAGTCGCGTACCTATGCCAGCAATGGGTCGAACGGAAATGTTGAAAATCGTGCAAACACATACACGCGATCTACTGTGCGGAGCATACCCGTCAGGAAACTGGTTTACTATCGTTACAATGCCGTCTATTGTGATGAGCTGATGAATGGCCGTTGGCCACGTAGCTCGCATGGAAGAGGAAGTATCCATTGGATTACGAACGCTTTTGAAATTCGATCGGCTATGACCCACCTTAAGGCGCGTTTGCACGAATCACTCTCAACGACAATAATGATTATTGATGAATCATCCAAATTGAAAAGCAACATGGTTCATCGTAGATTAACATTTTTATTATTTTGCACAAGAATTTAAATTAGAACCAATTAAAGTACATAGGTAATCATTTCTTATTATTACAATTACTCGCTTAATGTGAACTTGGTTGAATTTCGTTCATTATTCCATTGATGTGGACGATCACTTTTAATGATTTCACCGATCATTTTAAATTCACTTTAGATGATTCATTCAAAATTATCATTAAAAATGTTCCGCGTACATACAGTTAAATTTACATACATTTAATAGTAAAAATATCTACCTGTTACTAGTGCTCTGGGAAGTTCGGAGTTATCGAATAAAAATAGTAAAGGATTAGTTCGGACTCCATATTTTCATGAAAGATTTCGGTTCGATCGATTAGAATCATTTCAGTTCGGTCCGATTTCTAAAATATTATCAGATCGGTTCGGTGGTTACGGCCGATTTAAAATCTATTAAACAATAGTTTTAAATATTAAATACATAATATATATATATAAATACTATTGTTGCGTGCTATCGTCCAATCGTAAAGATGTTGAAGATTTAGGAAAATATTTCAAATAAAAATAGTCAATATAGTTAAACTGCTTATTTAAAATTTTTCTAAGTACAAATAATTAATTTAAAAGATGATCTGGCGTGGAGGTGCTTGCGACTACTCGTATAAATTACATCTAAATATTGGTCTATTCCCAACCCCCTTATATACTTAGGTCTGGGAATCAATCGTGCCGCGCTGTGCGAAAGTTGTTTTCGATTATTATAAATATAAGATTTATCACTTTAATGACCTTGTTAATATTACTATTCGCACATCTCTCATATGCGTTTTTATTAAAAATGTAGCCATGTTCGTGATACCTTCGGGTCTTGATTATTCTTTTCTACATTGTTCACCGATTTCAATTGTTTATTGGTAATTTTAAGGACCTACTTTTATGTATGTCCGAAACATCGTATTACCCTCTAATTAGATTAATAATTCCTTACTATTATTGCGAATACTTTATTATTCATAATCATTTCCCGATCTTACTAATTACGATTTATATGGTCCCGCCCATGTTGTAAGAGTCGTAAGGACCCACATGTCCATAACACTATAAAATTAATAAAACGTTTATTATCACGGCAATCTATGTTTTACATCTGCATCGGTGTTTCATGTACTTTGTAGATTTATATATCAGAGCTGTTCGTGGTACCTACCTATTAATAATTGCAATCGGAATATATTTTCAAAAACCACGATTGCAATCATTCCCGTTAAGATGCGGGCGACATGGAAAGGCTGGCTTCGCCATCCGATAGAATTTATATTTATATACAATGTAGTCAGGGCCGGTGAGAACTTTTGAAGGCCTCGGGCCTAAGTTCCAGACTACATTTACTTACACTTGTTTGGCCAAGATAGACATACTTTTTGAACATAGTTTAGTATGATAAAAATATTCAAATGTACATGTTATGCTATGGCGAATGAGATTAAAAATAATTTTAACGGGCATTTGCGGAGGTACGGGCCCCGGGGCTTTAGCTCTTTCATCTTCTCACCGGCCCTGCAGTATTTACTTTTCAATGTACTACAAATTATCAGTTTTGTATTTATCTACGAGCAGTTTAAATATTTACCAATTATCAATTATGTGGTATAATTCAACATTTTTTTTAGTTCGAATCCTTTATCCGCTCTATCAAATTATATTTTCGATCCGGTCTGGTAGAAAAAAAAAATTGGAGTAGGTCTGGTCAATAAACTATTATAGACCAAAATTTGTTTGTTAGGACCGGCGGTCAACTCTAACAAACTATTTTAAATTTTCAGCTAGGTCCGGTCTGAAAAAAAAAGTTTAGCAATCGATTCAGTCCTTTGTTAAAATTTTCAGTCTGGTCCGGTCCCTAAAATTAAGAACTGTGTAAAGCATTGCCTAATACTTATTTAAAATGTTACAAAATACATGAAGCATGGTTGAAAAACGTTTGTGCCGATTAAGTTTTTTTGTACTTAATGATAATTGAATGATATGAAAAGATCTTACTTTCTAGTACAGTGGTGGCCAAACTACGGCCCGCGGGCCAACTGCGGCCCGCCATCATTTAATATCTGGCCCGCGAAAGTCTTCTATATTACAGCACTTATTAGTATAACTGTAATATTTTGCATTTACGTAAAAAAAAATTTAGAATTCAATTGTTTTATGGCTCGCGATTAAAAAAAAGTTGTTTTTTATGGCCCGAGGAAAAAAAAGTTTGGCCACCACTGTTCTAGTAGGTACAGTAATGAGAAATAGTTTTAACTTGTAAGAAGTAGTTTGATGGCACGACATGCCGAGAACTAACTAAATTTAGTGGTTAAAAAAATAAATACAACATAATGAGGACAAATAATTTAACAATAATTCAATACACTTCATAATCGTATATTATGCTTATTTATAATCAAGTAAATTAACAATAATGTTACAGTAGCATAAATAAAATGAGAATCAATGTATTTATGTACAGAGTTTAGTTTAACCTATATAAATGCTTACATTTTTAGTGTCTAATAGGTATGGTTATAAAACTAAATAAAAAAAAAAAAAACATATATATTTCATTACATAACATCAAATAAGTACTTTATTTATACAGGGTGGAATTTTTCATACAAAAAAACAAGATACAATTTTTATTGAACTTCATAAAAAAAAGAAAAAAATGGTTTGGAGATATATATATATAATCAAATAAGACACAGACAGAGGAAGTAAATTGGTTTTATAGATATTAAAAATAAAAATGACTATATCCTATTTGTTTAAGTAAATAGTTGTTTATTAGACTTTTTAAATATAGGATACATTTAATAATAATAATAATAAAAAAATATTCACTTATAAAAAAATAATGTTTAAAATAAAAACAAAAACTTAACAAAAATTTAGGCATCTTGAATTAGTTCATATTGTATATAAGTAATTTTTTTCACTTAAACACTTATTATTGGAAAATAAAAATAAAACTAAAAAGGGGATGTTGAAAAATTGATTTGCTTTGTTATTGATTCTGTCAAATGACTAATGGCGTAGATAAAAATATAGTAGTGAAGGGTTGGGGCTAACCCTCCCATAAATAACCTTTACTTAAAGTCTGCTATCAAAAATATGATGTAATTGGTGAAATAGTTTTTTAAAAATATTAAAAAAAATACTTTGTAACCAAATAACAATTGTAAGATAATTTAACATATTAAGAATACAAGATTATTGCAGAGATATAATGAAAAAAAAAAAAACACATAACAGATTATTATAAGACAATAAAATACCATCACCAAATTTTGGTTTATAAAAAACTACAAATTGTGAACAGATTACAACAAATTAATTGTTTTAACACTTGCAAATATTTTTTGAGTTATTAATGGTTTTTCACTTATTATTGTTTATAATCAATTAACGGTTAAAATTAAATACAATTCTGGTTCTAGGGGGGCTCATTTAAATAATATTTACAGGGCACAACATTTCAACAGTTTTTTCTATAGACTCATTTTCTAAGATCAACAGACCTTATAATTTAATGAAGTGACCTCTTGTGTGTAAATACAGATAATATATTTATAATATTAATATTAACATAATAATTGGAAAAAGATTTTAAGTATATATATAATTTCATTTTACTTTGTGTGATGAGGAAAGGTAAAAATAGTTATTAAATTATAGTTAGGCTACTTTAAACATAATTAATTATAGTAGTAAAATTATTCTAATGAAATAATTTTTGAGCTTTAGAGACAAAAACATAACTTTATACTCTGCATAAACACACAATACATAAACCTAGAAACTTAGTCTTTTAAACACCATAAGATATTTGCAATGCTCTTAATTATGTTTTCAACTGCAACTTAAATGAAATATATATAAATACAATTAGAATAAATAAAAAAAAAAAAACATCAAAATATGAGATTGATAACTTAAAAATTACATATACTTTATAAAATATAATATGATATTAATTGTATTTATATTTAGATGAACCACAGTACTAAATATAAATAATATAGTAGTGATGTGACCATGATATTTAGTTTAAATTACTTTGAAGTCTTCATTATTCAGTATATAACATAATATCCTGAATCATAATCAAATATTTCAGTGTTATACTTATACAAGGTAATTTTAATCAGAATATATTTGTATTTACAAACTTAAAATCAAATTGAAATAATTTAATAAGAAATAAACTTTTTTAAAAAAAAATAAGTCGTTGAACATTAACAGTTTTCTTTCTAAATTATTATAATTTTGTAAATTTTCACAAGATAATCTAATTTGTAAACTAAAAATAAAATAATGTGTTGTAATATTACATTACTAAAGAGATATTATTTGATTTGTATTTTATTATGATGATTATTATGAATTTAATTTTTTAATATTAAACGTAAAAAATAAATAACAACGTTTAAAAATTACCTTATAAGTATATATCTTTTTTTTTTATATTTATGTACATTTTGTTTTAATTTATTATTTTTATATTACTAGGTAGGTATGAAAATTACATTACTCAAATATAATTTACTTTTGTATAATCACATGATTTTAAAATCAAATAATTGATTATAATACTCAATTAAAAATTGAGTAGGTACTCATTTTTATGTTTGGACTTTTTTTTCAAATTATAATGAATAATTATTAAAGATTGGTAAGAATAATCTAACTGCTATAATAAAAATAAAATAATTATATACCTTTAAACTTAAAATATTATCGAATAAGACACGTTACACAAAGTTTGGAAGGACCAATACAGTCATCATGGCAAAATGCTCCACACTTCTTGCATATTACCATAGCATTCAGACTACAAGAACAATCATTTGTTGGCTGCGACTGTGCAAATGTAGATACTTGTATACCTACACTTGCTGGTCGTCCACCATTTATGATTGATGGTATTTTATTATTTGTAGGAGGAGCACTGGACGATCGACGTATACCTGTTATTCCGCCTGACCTTTGGACCAACAAATATTGCCCCATTTGTTTTTCAGTGAGTGGTTGTTGCTATAAAAAAATTTAAAAAAACAATGTAGAATTTATACAGTACAATTCAGTATAATTAATTTGCTTTTATCGGAGAATTGCTAAAAAGATTTTTGTAAGCCAATATTAATTTAGAATTCTAAAACATTATAAATTTTTCATATTATGATTGAAATACTATTATTTGCACATATTAATAGCTTTTAGTAAAAAATTATCTTACATCAGGCGAATATGGAGATGCAACTGACACGGGAACTGAAATGCCACGAGAAGATGTAATTACATGTCTAACAACCATAGATTGTGAATTATTGGTGATATTGATGTTTCGTCCAGGCTGTTTCGTTACAGGTCCACTTCGTATACTAAAATTGAATTATTAAATTAACAATTAATACGTAAGAATTAAATAATTTTTTTTTCATTTACTTAGGATTTTTGCCCATGAACACTGATGGAGGTGGCTTTAGTTGACACCTGAGTTGATTACGATTAGGACTATTTTGAATTACAGCTTGGCATATTTGGTAACTTCTTTCTAAATTAATAGCACCTGGTGGTTGCTTTGAAGTTGTTCTACTACTAGTTCTACTTGTTCCACTACTACTTGAGCTTACCTTAAAAATAAAACAAAACCAAATTATTTGTAAGATCATTATATTTGTTATAGTTTAACTAAAATAATGATGAAAAATAGTCTATTCTTACTTGTGATTTAATTGATGACACATAAGTATGGTGAACTGGACGATCAGAAGGGATTGAAGAAATATTAGATAATGTGTTTATGAATGAAAAATCATTTGGAATATTTGTTTCTAAAGGTGACTGAAGTAATGGAGACATAGATAAAGGTGGTGTACTAGGCAACGGTGAACTATTAGAAGAAGTTATAACAAGAGGTTGAATAATACTAGGCACTTTAGGTATTTGAACAACCACAGGCGGCGGAGAATCAATTTTTGGAAGTTCCTGTACAATGTTCATATCCATGTTGTTATTATCTGGATCATTTGAAGACAGTTGATCAATTTCTGGGTTTACATCATCCATTTTTGGAGTAAGAGTAACTGAAAATATAATTTTCACATAAATATATATATTTTATTTATTATTTACATTGTCCATAATTTGTTTGTAAAACCCGTTTCACGCAGGCAAGAATCACTCAAGTTGTAGTCGAAGTTTCAACCAAATGTTCACACTAGATAGAGGAAAATATTGACTATGCAACGTTGTTTTTAATTTTTCGATATTAAAAATACAAAAAAAGTTCTTATTGTTTAAAAATTCTTTATTTTTGAGTTTTTCAAACTTGAATAACTTTTTTTTTAGTTCTGAAATAGAAAAAATAAAAACAACGTTACACAGTAAATGTTCTCTTCTTTATGATGTAAACAATTTAGCAGCTTAAATTTATTTACAGCCTGAGTGGTTCTTACCTTCGAAAAACCATTCTTGCATAAATATTTTACTTTTATATAATATTTTTGTATGAGCTTTATTTATGTGCTGTGGTCAACGGCAAGTATCCCAACAATCGTCACGATACTATTGACCGATTTATACACACGTTGTGTTACGAATCACGAGTATTAGAGCCGGTGGTCATGGTTTTCCAAGTTATTATTAGATTATTAGTTATATTATCATTATTATTTATTATTTAATAGTAACGAGATAGCTGCGGCGCGTTTGGCTAAAATAAAGATAAAGATATGAAGATGCTGCCTGCCACGCTGGAAAACGCACTTCGTGCTTTTACGATTATAATAATATAAATATTATATTATTTAATAGAGTTCTTCATTGATATTTTGATCCGATATCGATATCGCGAACTTTTTCATGGAAATTTCGATATCGATAATCTAAATATATCGTACTATATATCGATTATTGATTATCAATTTTCCCTTTTGAATATTTTTTATTTCAATTTCATGTATATGTATTATGTAATATATAACTGATGTAATAATTTATAAAATCGCATTGTCAAACTATGGGTTTATATTTATTTTGGGATTAAAAATAGCAAATGATAACGGAAAATCAATGAATTTACAAGTGACACAAATCACAAAGTAGTTTGTGGTTCTGGTGCAGTATTCAGTGGTGAAGCGGATATAGAATTATGTCAAAGACACTATATTTTAGACAACAATAATTTCACTATAGAACAGTCGGAATATCGATATATCGATAGTAAATTTTTTTATTCGATATCACGATTCAATATCGTAAAAAACCAAACCAAAAACCAAATATCGAAATTCAAAAAAATATCGTCGAAGAACTCTATTATTTAGTATTCATATTATTTTGATTACAAAGAATCAATATAAACCAAAAGTTAAAACCAGAATACACCAGACATGTAGCTAAGGGAGCGCCAAGGTGTATCTGGCCCACCCTAATATGTGTCAGGCCTTAGGCCAGCCCACCCACTCAAAGTATTCATAGGTGTTCATTATTATATGATGACTTTTAATTTTTACCAAATTTTTAATATTGCCTAAATATAACGCAAATACAACCAAATATAATTGGGTTTTAATTATAATCTAATATAAGTAATGTAAATTGTAACTAAATTTAAACGATCGATCAGGAAATAATTACTATTTATAGCTAAATACCGGTACCATATTACAATGTCACATTATTCTTATCTTATCTAGGCAGTGACTACTGTATACTTGTATGTCTATTTTTAAAATGCTTTGAGCGAAGGTATTGTCATTATATTGATTCACATAATATATGAATATATATTATATAATCATATTATGGTCGCCGGTTAACGTCATTTGCGTTAATATTTGTACAATTTATAGTATTTATATATTTTATTTTATATATTTAATATTTAAATTTATTTTAAAATGACACCTCTCAGTGAACGTGCTAAAAGAAAACTAAAATTACAAAGAGAAGAGCAAAATGATAAAATATGGTATTATTAGGTTGTATACTTATATATTTGTAGTAATGACACGCTAGTAATGATAACTACCTTTTTATAATATATAAGTCGGAAGAAGGGAGCCCACCTAGTGAATATTTTCTGACTACATGCCTGGAATACACTGAGTACCGAGTATAAATAATAATTATATTATAATATATATTAAAGGTATATACCTACTATATGTAAACAAAATATGTTAATTTTTTTTTTATTAGTTTAAATTTATCATTATAACTCAACATTTGTTAACATTGTTATAAATTAGGAAGTATTTACTATATTATTCTGTATTCATCAACTAGACTATTTGATTTTAGACGTCATTTTAACTTATAATTAAATAGCGAATTGTTATAATATCGTTAAAAACTGAAAAAAAAATCTACTGGGTCGTACCGTAAGTCGTAAGTATTACATTGTCATAATTTTAATTTTTATAAAAATTAATGGTCTATGAATATCTAACTAATTACAGATATGAAGGTAAGTATGTAAACTTCAGTTTTGCCAAACAATTTCGGCTATTTGCACCAGAATATAACATGTTAAATATTTTCATTAATAAACAGGCACGAGTCGTAGACATGCCTATGACTATAGGTATTGATGTACTCGTATTATATTTGAATAAGTAATGATTCAATAAATACAAATAATATATAAAATATGAAATATATAACTCAAATATATAATCAAATGAAATACCTTCTAATTCTAATTGCACTTCACTTTCAGTTGGTTCTTTTGCTTTTGAAGTAGAAATACAATCATATTCTGGTATTAATGTGTCCAAATCATCATTCATTAATGACGACCAATTTCTAATTACTGAAGATGTATCATCCAAATTAACATCACGGATAATTTTATCGGTTTCGTTTAATATTTCACTACAAGGCAGATTTTCAATTTGAATTTCTTCACTCTGTAAAAAAATAAATGTATGGAACATTAAAATTATATAACTTATTATTTGCTACAAAGGAATTTAGTATAAAAATGATGAAATAGTTACAACACCAATGTAATATAAAAACATTATTATTAAAGTAAGTTTTCCTAATGAGTTAAATCTGAATAAAATTAACTTAGCAAAATAATAATACAAAGTAACTTTTAATGTTATTATATTATGAAAATTAAATAAGAAAATTAAAAAATATATTTTGGGATAAAATTTTTTTTTCAGCTATATTCTGTTATTTAATATTTTATTAGCGAGAATTGTACATATATGTGTGAAAATATTTTTATTAAAATAATTAATTGTTATATCTATGAAAATAATTTTTCAATATTTTTAAATTAAGCAATAAAAAGGTATTATATCCAAAAATGTATGAATTTTATTTAGTTACTAATAATTAAACCATAATATAAAGAAATAAATAAGAAATATTGAGATACTCACAATTGGTAAAATTACATCTTCTATTAATGGTGTCACTGTATAATTTGTTGTAGAATCAACAGAATCCCATGGTAGTTCTAATTTTATATCCTCAGATTTAACTTCATCTGATGAAGAACACGTTAATATTGCATTTGTTGCTGCATTTAATTTAGTATTTTTTGTTGTAATTGTATTTATTGTTGACATTATACTTTTAGTTGTAGCTGTATTTTTTGTGGTAGAAGTACTTTTAGTTGTAGCTGTATTTTTTGTAATAGTAGTACTTTTTGTTGTAGCTGTATTTTTTGTGGTAGTAGTACTTTTTGTTGTAGCTATATTTTTTGTGGTGGTAGTAGTTTTTGTTGAAGCTGTATTTTTTGTTGTAATTGCATTTATATTTGTAACTGCATTTGTTGTTGCTGCAACTGTTATTGTTGATGAATTAATTTTTTTGGTTGTATTTACTGATTTAGATGCACTTGTTATGGTTGCTGTTGCATTTACTGCTTTTTTGGATGAATTAATTGTTTTTGTAGTATTTATTGTCTTAGTATTTATTGATTTTGTTGCATTTGTCTTTGCAGAATTTGATGTCACATTTCTTGTAATAGGTAAGGTATGCACTGGAGCAGTAATTGTTTCAGTTTTTTTATATTTAGGAGTACTACAGTCCGAAATATGTGAATTTGCAGAGTTGGATAATCTACTTTCACCCCAAACCGGTTCAAAATACTTCAGCTGAAACAAAAATTTGTTTTTAATATTAATTAAAATTTTTATTAATAAAGAATTTAAAAAACAGATTATATGATAATACACAAGCAATTTTGATATTAAAATCAAAATTTAAGTACTAAAAGAAATACAATGAAATTAAAATTTTTTAGTATATATTGATCATTAGCCCTTCCAGACCCAGTATCCTCTATACAAGACACAATATTATTTTATTTATTAGAATCGTTGTGATGATGTACTATTTATTTTTCAATAAAACTATGACTGCCTTGATTGAAATTCAAAAGTTAATTTGCCATTATCCAAAAAATATATATGTTTATTTAATGATAAGTGGAAAATACTGAAAAATCATAACTGACATTTTATTTCCATAAAAAATAAATGGAAGTTTTATTTGGAAGAAGTCATCAACTAGATTGTTCAAATAAAGACTTAAAATTTTTAAGTATATAATACATATTACAATTTGCTGTTTTATAAATGTATAAGTATTAAAGTAAAATATACATTGTATAATATTTTTATAATCATATAATTCATATTTAAGATAATATTTAATTTTAAATATTAAAGAAGGTTAGGGCCACTAAGTTCCATATAACGACATTGATAATAATAATTTCATATTGCGTTAATTTAAAATATTTTTTTTACTATATGGCTAGAGGGTTCCTTGAATATGACATTTTTGTTTATAGGGTGACAGTACATAGTGGCGTAGCCAAGGGGGAAGCTAAGGGGGCTATAGCCTCCCCCATGAGCTGTGCTTATATGTATAATGTATCTTGAATATTTAATAGAATCAATGCTCGTTTTAATCAAAGGCATATTGATGTTATGCCACTTGAAGGACTTATTCCGGCCAATTTAAATATGTATGACGATAAAAATATTATAAAAGCTGCTAAAACATATGTCTAAGATCTCCATGATGATACCATATTATACCATATTGTTCAGGTTACCGCATCTTTTAGACTATCCTGTGTTCGGACTATTGAGACTTTACTGTATTAATATAAATATGTATTTTATTAAATTACTTTGAGTATAATACTTATTAAAATTTTAGAGTTTTATGACAATTCAATTTTTTCTTTAATGGAATTATTATCACCTAATGTTACTTATAGTGGACATGATCAAGAATCTAATAAAACATTTGTTTTTTCTTATAGCCCATAGTTAAACTAATATGGAAAAAAAATATTTCAGTAAAAAAAAACTTGGGTCTAAAAGAATTAAATAAATTCTATATTTAATTATTCGTCTCAAAAATAAATTCTGAAAGCCAAATAGATATTTAAAAAATGAATTGAAAAAAAATGTATTCTGTACAATCATAAAGTAAAAATAATTCCTCATTATAAAAACTTCAGTTTTTACAATATAATGATCAATCAAATATTCAATATTAATCTAGTAAATATTTGATTTTAAAATATGAATTGAGATTCTTAGCTATAAAGATTATCTTAAGTATGAAATGATTTATTTTTATTTTTATTAAGATTTATTAATTATTATAGTTATAGTTTCAATTTTAATTTTTAAGACTAAATAATATTTATATTAAAAATGACACTTTAAAATGTGATAGATTGAATAATTTGTATTTCAGTATTAATTTTGTTAATAAATTGTAGACAATAGTAATTTCACAAAAATAATTATGTATTCTTTAAGCAATATTGCACCAAATTTTTAAATTAACAAGCATTCAGTATTTTGAGTTATAAAATTAAATTTTTTAAATTATTTTAATCTTTTAGATAAGTTTAGTAATAGTTCAGAAGTTCACTGTGATTAAATTATATTTTAATTTTTATAAAATAATAATTAAATAGTTCATTACTAAAACAAAAATGATTTTTATACACTTTTTTACTTAATTTAAATTTATATAGTTTAGATATTAAAATATTGGTTATATAAATAAGTGATATAAAGAATTACATAAAAAAATAATCACTTACTTTAAATGGATCTAATTTGCTTTTTTCACGATCATTGTCCATTTTCATTTTTTGTTGGTTTTCAGGAGTAAATTCGCCTTCAGATAGTCTATGAGTCCACTCAAGGCAAGCTTGAGCAAAAAACTCATTGTTTAAAACAGATGTGTTAAGTAATGGCCTAAAAAATAAAAATAAAATAAAATAGTATTCGTAGTATAAAATATAAAATAAAATATTTGTTATACACACCTAAAATCAGAGTGTGTCTCACTTAAACTTTCTCGATCAACTTGTGGTAACAGTTGAATAAGTTTAAGTTGATACAGCCGAGGAAGCATGGAAAAAGTTTGTTTATTTAAAAGGGACCTTAAATTTATTTGTGCAAGAACAGAATCTGGTGTTTCTAAATCAACACAGCCTTCAGCCTTTGCTTGTTGTAATTGAGCAGCAGCCGATAATCGTTTAGAACCTGGGCGTTTACGTGGTTTTACTAAACTGAATCCAGGAATTGAAGATAATACTTCTAACATGGTAGGTACTCTAGATTCTCCTTCATCAGCTGAAAATGTTATTAAATAATATAATAAAAATGATATAGTTTTAGATTATTAAGATTTTAAAACAGTATAGATTAAAAAAATATAGGAAAAGTTTGTTTAGTATATTTTTTAAATTAAATAAACCCCTGAATTTCTAAGTTACATTTAGATTAATCTCATTAAATTAAAAAAAAAAAAAAAATGTAAATAACTTTACTTAAAGTCATTATAATATAACAATTTTAATATTAAATATTAAGATTAAAAAATGTATAAATAATATTATTTAATGATAAAAATTTTATAATATTATGTTATAAATTGGTATTTATATTTATATAATATTTAATAGATACAATGATTTATAATTACTGTTTATTTTATTTGAGGGGTGTATAATTCTAGGAAGAGGCGCTACATTTCCAGCAGCGATTGTTGTATTTTTTCGTCTTCGCTTAGCCTGTTGACGTAAAGCATGTTTCATAACTGTTTTGGAACTTGAACTTTTTACACTAGCACCCCTAGTTATTTTTGAAATACTCCAAACACTATCATTTTCATTGGTTATTTTGTCATTAGCTGAAATAAATTTTTTTTGATTTTATTTTTGTATGCTATTAAAACACAATCATATATTTATGATATTATTATAAATATTTTTTGTTTCATACCTTTCAGTTTTTGAAGTTTAACAGGAGTTAATGATGTATTGGAATTACCAGAAGAAACCAATGTCCTTTTTCTGTCTTCCATTTTATTTATTTCATATTCTATCATAAACCTGAAATAAATAAACACCATTTAATTATAATAAACTAAATAAATAAATAAATAACAAAAATAAAAATAGGTGCATAAATATTGGTAGTCAAATTAATTTTTTTTTCTTTTCTTTTTTTGGAAAAATTAACAAAAATTGTTAAATACTTATATTACTTTTAAAATCAACCGAATGAAGATAGCTATCACAAAAATATTTATAAAAACATAAAACAGATACTTTCATACTTACTACATATGAAATTATGTAACAGAAGAAAAATAATACTTATTATATCAACTCAAATAAAATGTATAATGTCATGTAAATAATAAGTAATAAGTAAAAAACATAAAATGCAGCGAAAAATGTACAATTGTAAATAGATAATTCATTAATAATAGACCAATAAAAAAAATAAATTATAACTTATTTAAGATTTTATTGCACTGAATTTCATAAATTGCTATCCTTGAAAATATTTATAATAGGTTCAAGATAAAAAAAACCATAGTGATAAAATCAGATATTAAAAAAATACCTATGTTTTGAAGTTAAATTTTGAAATTTTTGAAATTTTCAAAATTAAAATTTTGAAATTAAATTTTTCATAATTGAGGCTGAGAATAAATTTTATACAGCGTAAAAATAATTTATAAATATTTTTAAATAACAAAGTAAAATAAGAAAACATATTTTTTATGCTTATATTATGTATTATTATTTTAAAATTAAATATTATTATATGTTTAAACTTCTTTAAATAATGTACACTTTATAAGTAGGTATGATAAAATTAACTACATCAATAACTTGCTTATTGATCACATTTATTTTGTTGCTAAATTTTATATAACTTATGAATAGAATTAGTATGAATTCTTCATCTTAAATATTTTTTTCTCATTTTCCATATTTTAATTTATGTCGATTTACTTAAGATAATTTTTCACTAAATATTTTTATTTAGAAATAAACAACTGAAATACCGAATACTGAATGGCTGAATTGCTTGAATTTCAATGACTGACTGAATGAATATCTAATCATTGAAAATAAGTTATGTAATTTCGAAACAAACTTGATATGGACAAGAGAAAACAAAAACAAAACACAAACAAAATGTTTGAATTTTGTTCATTTTTTGTTTAATATTTACTGAACTCAATATGAACACATGTTTGGTTTTTGCTGTTTTTGTGTCGTCTCTGTGTGGAGCCGGCATAAGTGGTCACCATAATTTAATATAAAACAATAAATGAAAGGTTTTATAGCGTGGCTTACAATAATTAAATGTCATATCTACATAATTAGATATAAAAATTCAAAAACCTAGGTACTGACTATTTCGTTACTTTTTTACAATAAACCAAACTGATACTACAAGTAAAAAATAATAGATATTTTAGATTTTAACTACAAATAACAATGTTGTTAATTTGATTAATTTTTATAAAATGCAATAGATCAATCAAATTGCCTAGTACGAAATAAAAAAAATTAGAAGAAATTAAAAAAGTAATTGACAATAAACTGAATACAGTAAACTAATTGGAAGTACTTTAAGTTGATTGAAAACATTTGTTAATGTATTTCTTGACTTACGTTTAGTATTATATTATGATTTTATAAAATTCACTAAAATTAAATAAATTTGAAGTTTACCTAGCCTTAAAATTAGTATTTTAGGTTTTAGTAATAGTATTTTATTAAGAAACAACTGTTTTTTAAATTTTTTTTTTTTATAATATACAAAGTCTGAATTTAATATACTGAATCAATGTTCAAACAGATAAATATGTCAATGTTTACTTTTAACATTAATCAACAGTTGAAATGTTAATATCTAGTAAGAAACAAATGTATATAATACAATGCTTATAATACAAATTAAGTGCCAAAATACTCTTTACATAAAATGTAATATAAGCAAAAATTATTGTTTTTGAAGACACTTTTAAAAAGCAACTCGATCGGATCAGTCCAAAGATTAAAATATTAATAAATAGTCCATGAGATAACCAAAGTAAAGTGATGATCAACAAAGGTGAGATGAATATTATTGAGTTACAGATATCGAATAAATTTGGAACAGTGCACAAGCAGTTGGGATTGTCCGGACACCGACGGTCGGGTAGACACTAATCCTCACACGTGTCTAGAAACGTTGAAAAACACAGCCGACGAGATGCGATTGCGAAAACCGGCCACGACAGAGCAGAGAATGACCACCGTCACGCAACGGTGATGGCACCCGAACCGAACGGCGAACAGAGACGAATCATACATATGTACAGATTATATGCTGACTAACCGTGGGCGAAGGTATGCGGAATGCGTCCGTGTGTGTTCTGCGGCTCTTTACGCCGCGCGGCACGTCGTGGACACCGATGGCCACGGGCGACGGACAGCGTCTGGCGGCGGACGGGCAGAGCGGCTAGCGGACGGCAAGCAGTGGAAGTGGCGGCGGCACGTCTGGCCGGACAGCAAGCGGACAGCAACAACACGCGTCGTCGTCGCGGGCGCGTTCGCGCATTCCGTCGTCGCTAACAGTTGGCCGCCGATAACGGGACGCGAGACGCGCATAACAACGACACCGCGGTCGCTTCGTTATCGCGCGCGCCGTCCGCGAGCGCAACGACAATGGAGACCCGGGGACTGTTAACGCGTTCGGCCGACCGTTGTACACCTGTGATGGCTGCACGCGATCCCTGCTAGACTGTGGTCAGTTACGCGTCGGCCGATGGAACCGTCGGTTTTCGGCGACAACGGGTGCACGGACGGTGTTCGAGCTGCGCGGTCTCGTATCACGGGGTACGCGTGTCGCGCGTCGTGTTCCGTTCCGCGTAAACGTTGTTTTACATGTTCGACGACGACGAACGTCCACGATCAAAACGAGCGAACGAAAACAACAATAATGATAATAATAATAATAATAATAATAATAATAATAGCAGTAGTGGTGTACGAGCGCACGGTGCGTGCGTGTTTTCTTGTGCGTGCGTGCGCGCGCCCGTGTTGTGTTGGTTGGTTTTTAGTTTTTTTTTTTTTAATTTTTTTTTTTTTTTTTTGGTACTCCAATATTTATATCTACGGCCGGTTATCAGCGAACAGCGACGCGAACCAGTAGTAGTGGTTACTGCACGACGGCGGAGGCGGCGGCGGTGGGAGTTACGGCGTCGACGGACGGGTGACTCGGAGCGCGACACCGACGGCGGAGGGGACGTAATCTGCCGTCGGTACGCGCGTTGCGAAAGTCTGCCGCTCGGTAGCGCTACGCGTAACGACCGCGTTACGTTCCGTCGCAGCGTTTCGCCTTTTCTCGTATGCGGCGGCGGCGGCGGAGTAATATTATTTTACACCGACGGCCGATCCCCTCCCCCCGTCTACGGTCGCGAGGCAGTTGCAGTGTTGCGCGCCACGACTTGAACGATCGGCGCGGCGACCGGAGTGCGATTTTTCTCTCCTCTCCATTCCGACCGCCACCGCGGCGACTACTGTTGTCGCACTCGTATGATATGCGGAATCCTTCGGCTCGGGCTTTTGTCCGTTTTTATTGCTCCGTTTTATCCCGTACCCACCCCTTCACACCTACTCGCTACCGACGCCCCGCGGCAAAAACCTTTCACCGCCGCCGCCGACTCCTCGACCGCCACGGGGTCGCAAGGGATTATTACGACGATATCATTATCAAACGTCTCGGCCCGGGAGGTTTTACGATATTCCGAAGGACGGGTGAACGGAATGGAAAAGAATAATGAAAAAAAAAAAAAAAAAAATTATTTCAATCAAACGGAGCGAATATTCGATACCATTATTATAATCGTCCATGCAAACACGACGAGAATTATTGATATTTAAAACGACGCGATATCGTCCGTTTCCCTCGATTCTTCGCCATCCGTCTCGTCGTGCATGAATATTATAATATTTTTGCTGTGCCGTCTTCCGAAATACCATTGCCCTACACAATGAGTCACGCGTAAATTAAAACAATTAACTGTCAACCGTAGAGTAACTACTCTATGCTTTTAACTTGCAGCTGTTTCACAATCGTGGTTTCTCTTGGAAAACATATATTTCTATTTCTATTATAATACCTTATACTATCGAAGTTGCTAGCAACCAAAAGCTTTTATTGATACGGTTATAGTAATAATGTCTAGAATTTTTAATTCTAATTACATTCTAAAATTATTTTCATTTTTAATGCGAAGGGTGTACAGAGTAGGTACATACTACTTGCATATTCACAAAATATTCTGGGCTATTCTTATAATTTTTATTTTTATTTCATCGGTTGACATTTTAAAAAATTTGGTTTCTGTTTTTGTTTTCGTTATTCGCGCTAAATAAACATTAAGCGTGTGTTATGTCTAAATCTAAAATAACGAAAACTACTTTGCTGTTGCAAACAGCAACAGCTGTAATTATATTTTATTTATAAATATATTTTTACAGTTTTTACTATTAAAATTATTTAATTAGGTAAGTGATCATACGTTCTTAAATTATGACTTATTAATTCAACGATCTAACTTCATGTTGAAAAATCAGCTTGATTCCTCCCCTCTCCTTCTGTAACAAAATTATTTGACCACCACTGCGTATTCGTATAAAGCTAGTACATTAAGGTGGTTCTATACAAAAAAAAAATCTGTTGATCGTTTGATGACGAACCGGCATAATAAAACATCGTAATAGATCCGTATAAAAATACGAATATTGTGTTATAACATATTTTTATTTGACACGTCGATCGATCGATAACAGTTTGTTCGCTGGGCAGACGTGCTATTTATTCGTACGCGACACTCTTTATAACGATGAGGAGGGGTGGCTCGTATATATATACGTCTGTCGACGTTACATCATATCGCGATAAAATACGATATGTGACGGACGAACACCTCCGATGAGTTTCCATTGGTATATATTGTAATTTACACCAATCCGTTGGTATATACTCATATTGTGTGACGTCTCCGGTATAATATTAGTATTTATGATAATCTAGGATTTTGCTGTAGTTCGATGGAAAATACGGACGCAAAGCGAAATAATGATTTACATAAAATATAATATTTCTTACATTACAACAGTGTTGTAGACAGTGCCGCTGCAAGCTTTTGCGAGGCCTTAGGCAAAACCAGTACCATTTCCATACATTTAAATATATTTAACTTGAAAAATTGTGGATCCCTGAATTTTTTTTAAATCCGAGGCCTTAGGCATTTGCCTAAGTAGCCTAGTCGCTAATGACGAGTTCTGACGAGTTCCGATTGTATAGAATACTTTTAAAAAGTATTTGAGAAAAGTATTCAAATACATTTTTTTTTAAGTATTTCAAATAATATTTAAATACTTTTGGTTTTATTTTGTATGTTTGAAATTAACGGAACATAGACACATAGTATATTATAATATTTTTACTAAAGAGTATATTTTAAATACATAAAAAATGTATATTTATTTATATTGTTTATTAAATAATTATGTTTATAAGTATAATATATTTTTTATACAATTACTTCTCAAACTTAAAAAACATTATATTTTCAGTTTTCGTCGGTCATATTCAGTGGCGGATTTTCAACATTTTTTTTTGGTGGGGGGGGGGTTCTGAAAAATAACATTTTTTTCAATAGGCATTATTTATATTAAAAAAAAAACTGTTGACAGTAATTATATTAATGTATTATATTGATGTAAATAAGTAATTAACAGGGCTCGGAAGTTGTAGCACTAAAAATGTTATTTTTTAGCTCTTAAATATGCACTTAAAAACTCAAAAATATGTGTTATAAATAGCACGAAAAATTAAAAAATATGCATTTATGTTAAAAAATTATAAATTTATTAGAAAAAATATGAAATGTCATTTCACAAATATTTTGGCTTAAAGACGTGTGGACTGGTTGAATTATAAACTTAATAAAAATGTTAAATTAATTAAATATATTTGTAAAAGTGTAAAAGTGTACTTATAATTAAACGATTTTATTTAGTCACTAACTATTAGTACATCAAATTGTCGATGAAAAAATAAAATAATAATTGATGAGGTCTATTTATTTCCAAAAATTCAAATATTTTTAAAACTATAACTAATTAAATCATTATTATCAGCAAAATGTGATTTTTTCCTGTATTATCTGAAAATATTCCTAAAAATAGCACTATAAACCCTAAATTAGCAAAGTAACAATAAAACCAGTAAAATAAAAAAATAAAAAAAATTAAATTTTGTGTATGATATCCAAGTAGTTTGAAACATATTTGCATCTTACTTTGGATATTCTAGGGTTAATCAAGAAAAATATGCATTTGTTAGAACTTCCAAGCCCTGGTAATTAATATAAATTAAATTTTATTTATGATATTCTAATGACGAGTGTTTATTAAATGTTTCAAACGCATGTCTTCAGTTATCAAATTTTTTTAACACGAGACTACCTAATACTTAAGAGTTGACTCCACCTTGAGATTTCGAAAACGCTATACAAAATTTGCAAAATGAATCATCTTGTATTGCTGAATATGACAACCACGAAAATCACATTAATCATGCATACTGAAATTTAAGATTTTTCACTTTTTTATCTTTTCCATAAGAAATAGATTTTATTGGAAATTTATAATTTATTTCCGGAGCCCAAATTTTATTTAATACGTTATTAATTTGATTTTGTGAAAGAATTTTGTTACAAAATAAACTAATATCATATTTGCTATGAGTTAAAGACGAATACGGTTTTGTAAAATCTAGTTAAACTTTTTTTTGGACTACTAATATCACTGTGCGAGGAGTTATTATTGTAAAAAACTGGTCTCTTAGTTGATATACATTCTTCTAACATATTATTTTGAATAATATTAGGTAAATCAGCTGTTACAGTAGGAATTGAAAAAAAAAATTGTATTTATGACTGTTTTTTAGAAGAAATTTTATATAAAAAAAAAAAATAACTTACGAAGTGCAAAAATTTAAAAGGATCTTCTACTTTATTTTCAACAGTTTATACCTTAAATGGTTTATTTAAGGTAAATTTAAATAAAATAAATTAAATTAAAATAAATTTTTTTTTTGCAAAACTTCTCCTTAACCATATCGAGACATGTCGGATTAAAGTAGCCAACTGTTTTAGCGTAATTTGTAACTTATATTATCAACGAATATGTAGAACTTATGTTACAAAAATAATTAATAGTTATTGAATATATATTTTAAGATAAAAGAAAAAACCATGTTTTCACAAGATTGAGTCTCGTTAAACACTAAATTATTATATAATTATATTTGTGGTGGAAATGCACAAGAACAAACAATTTTAGGTCGCCGTCTATAAGTATTCTATCGATCGTCGGAGTATGGAGGAGGCTACAATAATATTATTTCAGCCAAATTTTAAATACAAATACAATCTTCGAAAAATTATGAAAAGTATTCAACACAAAAATAATTATTTATAATACCATAAAAAATAGTTCGTGCTGGTAGTATTAAATACGTAATGAATATTTTAAAAAGTATTTGAATACTTTTACTAAAATAATTTCATAAATTACTTTATAATCATGCATCAAAAAGTTTAATCGTTGTACTTAATAATCAATGACGTATATTATCATGTATATGCATCATGGTTATCGTTTCACCGTATCTCGTAATAACACAGATTTGAGATTAAGTGAAATTGACTGTAATGTTTCATTTAATCGGTGCTAATAACATCGCTTGGAATATACATTATATTATATATAATATATATATTTAATATTATACAGCGATCAGTGACGAGTAAATGTTAAATTTGGACGGTATATAAAATTTATCAAGCTTATTGTTTGTATAGTTAATGAACAACTATAATTTATAAAAACACTTAAATTTTTATATCTTTTAAACTATGTAAGTCTATGTTAAATTTATACGGTCGATTTAATTTAATATATTATTTTTAATTACATTTAAAAAGTTAATTAACATGTATGTACCATGTTTGGCGTAAACGTAACTACAATTGGAATATTATTTAGTATTATGTGCAAAATTTTTTTGATAAACTGATTTAATAATTCGCAAACTGTGTTAAAATGCGAATTGGCAAACAGTGAAAAAAAAAGAAACGCTATAAAACTAAACTGTTTTGGCTATAGCGCATTAGT